TTTGGGTTTTATGCTGCTTTGTTTGAAGGCCCGCACACAGACCAGCGTTGTCGATTTACGGCAGAGGTTTCTCCGCAAGGCACCTGTTTTCCTGGCTTCCTTAGGTCCCATGCTCCACCGGCGGTGAGCAAGGGTGGATCATCTCTGACTGTGGACAGGGCTTCGGTGCTAGCATTGCATTTGTGGCAAATGTCGAAGGCAAGAGTACATAGCGCATCGGCGCGCCCGCTTCTTCAAGACATGTTTCACTGTGATTAGATGCTGTAGCGTCACGTCTGAACAGACTTTGACTGCGAGGAACAGGAACAGGAACATTCGGCAGTTGTCCAAGCATGCGGGATGTCCCAAACATGGACACATGAAATACACCCAAACCACGTACAGCTTTGACGAAACTTACGCCCCTGCAGGACACGAAAGGTCAGCAAGCTGAGGATGCAGATTGGACGGCCTGCAGGCCCAGTGTTGCAGCTAACGGCACATGCAAGTAACTCTGTTTTGAGCCGCCGCAATTGCGGTGAAAAAAAGGTGTGGAAGATTCCAAAGGCATCACACGGATCCTTTCCACCTGAAATGCAGTCGCCCACACCCGGGATGCCTCATACGAGACATCCTAGCATGCAGTTGCATTGCCTGCATTAGTCAGGCATCGCATGCCAAATCCTTATAAAGGGTTCCTTCATAAGAGCTTATAAGGAATCCCCTTAAAGGCGACGGGTCCCCGAGCCTGCCAGCTCCCCTGGAAGGCTCGGGACTGCGGCTTGTGCGGCTTGTGTGGCTTTGCAGCTGCGCATGTGCTGACAACAGGAACTTGAAACCAGGACCAGGCCTGTGCCCTCAGTTTCAGACTCTTCACAGAGGTGTCGCTGACGTGTGCATGTACCTCAGCCCAGGTCGTGTCGTGCATGGTACAGCTTGTGGGGAGATCGCCCTTTTCCACGTTGCATCAGTGAAGTCTTGACTTGAGAGGCTCTCAATCACTTTGTCACACCGCAAGTCGCGACATGTCCTGCCTCAAAGCGACCTGCAGAGCTTCAGCAGCCCGAGACTGAATCCTAAAACCTAAGAGAAGCTTCCTCTGAAGACGCGGGAGTTTCAGCAAAATGGAACCCCATCAGAATTGACGCCATGCAATCGGATCCCCACCAACCTCACGTAGGAAGGAAGCTCGGCACATAAAGAACTTTCCGCATAAAGATCTCGCGGGTGGAGGGATCTTGTTCTCCGGTCCACTTTCTGCATGACGAAGAAGTAGCGAGATCCTTTTGTCTACAAAACCAGGCAAAGACATACTTGGTCAGATCCTTATGTGGTCTTCGAAAAAGTCGCAATTAAGGGTTCAAAGCCTTGACCGCGTAAAGATTTTCCGAGATGTTCTTGGTGGCACAGCCGGAGCGGCTTCCAGCACACCTGGTCATACTCAACAAAGTGGAAGCTGTGGGTATGCTAAATGGGATATTTATGTTTATGTGTCGTATTGAACCCTGATCACAGGGATCCGAGTCAGTCCTGCTTTGGGGTGTAGGGCTTCCAGCACTTGGGGGTTAAAGCCTTGACTTAAGGACTGAAGGATTTACAGGGCTTGGTGGGGTTTGGCGTTTATGGTGTAGGGCTCGCGGGCCGTGGCCAGTACTACAGCAGCATACTCAAGTCTCGAGGTGCCAAATGCACATAAGGATCCTATTTGGGAAGCCACCTGTGACTGAAGAGGCCACAAAACATGCTGTGTCGAACGGTTAAGGTGGGTTTGGTTCGATGCTGCGCACTTCGGGGCCAAGAAGGCGGTGAGGGGGGGTTTCTGGAGAAGCTGCAGGTCCAGGGCTGGAGTTCTACGATGGGAGAGAAAGGCTTGGAGTTAAGGCCCCTGCAATGAGTATGAACGACTTCACGGGGACCAGAACGACTCTGGCACTGACACGCACCAATATGTTTGTGTGAGTTGCCAGCAGTCTTCGAAGATCTCATGCGGCAAGCTTTACGTAGTGAAACCGGCTCGTCCCATCCACAAGCCTGTCAACAGCAATCTGCGCCAAGGTCGGCTTTGATCGGCTTGTGCCCTCTCACCAACGTGAAGTGCAGCAGCAGCAGCGCCTGCATGAGCTGCACGGTCAAGGCTGTGTTGGCATCAGGTTCACACTCCAGTGCTGGAGCCCTGACTTCAGTTCACCGTGTCGTCGGAAGGCAGCCAGCAGCGATTGAAATGTCCCTTCCTAAAAAGGGAGCTATATACATTACATGGAAAAACATTTTCGAGACAAGTTCCTTGCCCGTGCTTTCGCGCCACTTGCACTGCAATCGTGTCAGCTAGCGCCAGCATTTTGGCCCGTGCAATTTCTATAAAAAAAAATGCCAGACTCGACAACGCACGCGATCGCCACGCGTGGTTGCTTGATGCTGTTGAAGATCCCAACTCAAGGCGGCGCAGAAAGCTGGCTAACTGCCTCCTGGCGCCTGGAACTGACTGACTGCTTCGTCAGGACACGGTGGGCCTACGATCCCGGGCTACACCTCGTCTCTGCACTTCTACTTCGCACATGTTCCGCACGTTGTCAGGGCTGCATTCAGCAGGCTAGGCAGTGTCACCATGCAGCTGATGCTGATGCGGCTGTGGAACCGATCGCTGCAAGTTCGTACCCTCACCGAAACTGTAGCTGGCTAGAGAGGCCTCACCGATGCAAGACGGTGCTGCTTGCATCACGTCACGACTGAAAGACCTGCAGTGTTCCTGATGCCCTTCTAGGCCGATGGCTTCAAAAAGTGGAGCAACACGTTCCGAACATGGCTGGAGAGCCCAATTCAAAGAACTCCACGTCCAAAGAGCTTCCTGCATCGGTCATGTCAGGTCCACTGCAAGGACTTGGGCTGTAGTTGCCGTGCATATAGCCAGTGTAGCCCGGGAGATACCGTGCTCACCCTCCACGCCTTTTGTTGAGCAAAATTGGCAAATGTCCTGTCCGGGTGCGGGACTGCTTGAATCGTTCGCATTCAAGTCCTGATCGGCGGGCACTTCAGCTCGTGTCCAATCAGGGACCGGGTGCCACAGCTAGAGCCAGCAAGCCCGAGCAATTTCTACGCGGAATAGAGATGCCAGACTCGGCAACGCACACGATCGCCACGCGTGGTTGCTTGCTGCTGTTGAAGATCCCAACTCAAGGCGGCGCAGAAAGCTGGCTAACTGCCTCCTGGCGCCTGGAACTGACTGACTGCTTCGTCAGGAAAAGGTGGGCCCACGATTGTGGGCTACACCTCGTCGCTGCACTTCTACTTCGCACATGTTGCGTGCGTTGTCAGGGCTGCATTCAGCAGGCTAGGCAGTGTCAGCATGCAGCTGATGCTGATGCGGCTGTGGAATTGATCGCTACAAGGTCGTACCCCCACCGAAAGTGTAGCTGGCTAGAGAGGCCTCACGATACAAGACGGTGCTGCTTGCATCACGTCACGCCATGCGTGGTTGCTTGCTGCTGTTGAAGATCCCAACTCAAGGCGGCGCAGAAAGCTGGCTAAATGCCTCCTGGCGCCTGGAACTGACTGCTTCGTCAGGACACGGTGGGCCCACGATTGTTGGCTACACCTCGTCTCTGCACTTCTACTTCGCACATGTTCCGCACGTTGTCAGGGCTGCATTGCTGATGCGGCTGTGGAACCGATCGCTACAAGTTCGTACCCCCACCGAAAGTGTAGCTGGCTAGAGAGGCCTCACGATGAAAGACGGTGCTGCTTGCATGAAAGACCTGCACCGAAGCTCCTCTACCGTCACACTCGGTTCACAAGGGCACTGCGATCTGGACGGAAGCCCCACGACGGTCCCCGCTGCAAGCCGACCATGTGTCAGAATTTGGCATAAGCCACAGGCGTCAACGGGCGATGCGTCGCAAATGTGAGGTTCGCCCAGGCGGCGGAGAAGCTCCAGAGAAGCCCGCACCGAAGCCTCCGAAGCTGCGTCGCCTGCGTTCTCCTCGCCGACGGCCCTCGGCCTCGGAGGCCGAGACGGCCCAGCCCAGGGCTGTTACCAGGGCTGCGACTGTTGTGGCGTCAGATGCCCAGCACCCCAAGGCTACTGGGCTACATGCTGGGAGAGGGGCAACATCACGACTGAAAAAAGTGGCCCCGTGCGCGATTTGGAGATCGCAGGGATGCTTGTGATGCCCTGTAGCCTGTTGAGCTCGCAGTCACGAGCAACAAGTTTCGGAGATGGCTTGAGAGCCAGATTCGAGTCACTCTCTGCTCGAAAAGCTTATGCCTGTTTGCCGATGCCCCTGCGAGCCATGGCTTTGATGCTCCTGCACGTCTGTCTCGTGTCGCCGCAAGAACTGCTTCCGAACTAATCTTCCATGGAAACGAAACTCAACGAAGCTAAGCGATGAGGAGCAGGCAGCTGGGCAGCAGGCCCTGCTTCTCATGTGAAGACTTCGCCTGCTCTATAGACATCCCTTTACACACGTGTCCCGTTCATCGTGATGCACATTGATGCACCGACTCATGAACGCCCATGCAGGAATCTCAGTGAAGGCAAGGATAGAGAAGCCGGATTGCATCGCAGCTAGAACTGACCTGACGAACGACATCGCTTTCTTGTGAGCTGCACGCATTGAGGCATGACTTCGCAAGCATCGTCTTCAGGGAGCCACCAGATGGAGGTGCTTGCGCCCGCTGTCTTTGTGGCAGACCACGAGGTGAAGCAATGCGGCTACAAGAAGCTGCTGCAAAAGGATCGTGACTGCGACACATTCGCTCAAGTCAAGAGAGATTCCTACGTTGGTCGGGTCAGGTCCGCGGCAAAACACAGGCTGCCAATGCTCAGAGTATAACCAATTTATCTACGCCTTTTGTTGAGCCTACTCGGCCCGCCCACGGAATCTGGGACTGTTACTGCTTCGTCGGGACCTCTACTGCCCCAGGATGCCAGTTCACAAGCGGCATGTAGCCGTTAACAGGCTAAGCGGTAGTGTCGCTTGAAGCTGATGCTGTCACGGCTATGAATCTGGCTGGTTGCCCTGTCGATGCAGGAGCATGATTTGACAGCGGAGCAAGCTGCCTGCCCCTGCATCGCAGCACGATTCCAAGGGCCCTCAACCAGCATGGAGCTGCTTGCACCCGTTGTGCTTGTGGTTGATCCGGAGGTGAATCAAAGCGGCTACATGAAGTTGCCTCCAGAGGATCATGACTGCGACACATTCACTCAAGGCAAAACAGCTTCGTGCGTCCACTGCATGGGCTGCAAATGCTGTGAGAGTAGCCAATTTATCAAGCCCTTCGCTGTGCCTAAGCCAAGCGGCTGCTTCGTCGGGATGCGGATGCTCTCGAATGGCGGCTTAGGCTAAGCGATAGTGTCGCTTGAAGCTATTGCCGCGGCTGTGGAATCGATCTCTGCAAGTCGGCTATGGGCCCAAGCACGTTCGTTATGTGCCCACCAACCCTGCATCTGACTGGAGAGTTGCCCGTCGGGGAGTGCAGGAACAGGGTCCCGTTGATGCAGGAAAATGATAAGACAGCGGAGCAAGATGATGGCGCTGCCTGAGACTGCACCGCACCACGACTCCAAGACCTGCAGTGTTCATGCCCTCGAACCTATCACACAACACATTGACATATCGTACATGGTTTGAGAACCAAAGCCGAATCACTTCCCAAGAGCGGCGATGCGCTGAGGCTCAAGCCATGGTCCCGACTCTCCGCCTTGGCTCCGCTCGGCAAAGCCGGAAGGCCACTTCTGTTCCGGGCGCCCCTCACCAGTCACAGGTCGGGACCCAGCCACATGCCCCGGACTGCCTGGATGTTCGGGCCGAGTGCACGTTGAAGGTGTACGAGGCGGCGTATATAAGCCTTGGGAGGGAGAAGTATCTTGGCGAACATAAAGCCAACGCTGAGTCCAGACCGTGGCCTCCTCGTGCAACATGTGCAACCATATTAGTTGAAGCGTGGCAGGCCTCTCGTGAAACTCGAGTCGAGCAGTCTTCGCTTTTGGTAGAGTCCTGGTAGAGGGCACATACACGAAGCCATGGCCTCACAGGCCGTGTAGAAAGAAAACAGCAGACAATAGCCGGCTTGTCCAACAAGTGACATCAGGGCAGGTGCATCTTCACAACTTGGCCTTGCAAAGGAGGATGTAAACATCACAGCTCAAGCCCGCCAATGCGATCTCCCACGTTGAGGAATGGGTGTGCTTCCATCTGGTACCCAAACAGAGAGGCACATCCAAAGAGTACCACCAAAGCCCTGAAGCGCACAGATGCTTGCACAAGGAGCTGCTTTGAGCTTGCCTGCCGGCCAGAAACTCTTGATCTCCATCTGCACAGGCCACCACGAAACACCGCCAAAGCACTCAAGCTTGAGAATTGGTTCTGAACTTGACTACCAGAAATCCAGAATCTCCATCTGCAGCGGATGCACGCCGGACGCTGCAGCAAGCAAGTCTCAGGGCCTGGTGACGCCACCTGAGACACCCCAGCATGTGTTGCAGGCACGCACTGCAGCTGACGTCCTGTGTCCCGTCAGCGGCACCGGCGTGTGGTCGGCTGCAAAAACAAAACGCGCAGGTCCGGCAGAGAGGGCGCCAGTGGCTAAGACTAAGAGAACTGAGGACTCATGATCTTCCCGAACCACAGAGGACTGCCGCGACGGCATCATCTGCTTCGAGGCTCGGAGGCACACCGCCGTCTTCCGGGGGATCAGCAGAGCGCTGTAGGGCAAAGGACGCCTTCGCTGCTTAGGTTTTACTTTGCGTGCTCAAAATTAGCTTTTAAACGGATATGGGAGTTGTAGGCTTTCAAACCTATACCGGACTCCCATGAAAAAGCTCTGGACAAGGGC